GGTTGAAATGGTTCTCTGGCATGGAAATTTTCTTGCCAGGCTTCTCTGGAGAATCAGAAATCATCTTGTAAGCAGTGAGATTTGGTGGTAGGGTTTTTAAATGAGTGTTGCTTAATTAAGTGTTGTCCTTTGTGATTTTGGTTTGGTTTGAGACAAGATTTCACTGTGTAGTTCAGGCTGCCCTTAAACTTGCCAGTGACCCTCTTGCCTCAGCTGTCCAAGTGCTGGGACTACAGGCCTGCACCACTATGGCCAACTAGAGGTTGTCCTTTGAAGTTCTTGTAGAATGAAAACAGGATATTAATGATTTGCAGGGCTCCACTAAGAAGTATTCATCCAAAAGATGGACTTTAGCATTTTCTTGAAGTGAAATATAGGGCTCTTTTACCTGCTCTCAGTTTCATGTGGTAAATTAACCTTTTAAATTTGAGAAGGCTGCTGGCTCAGAACCTGCCTGAGCAGCATGTGTCCGAAAGAAGACAGAATCAAAAAAAAGGAGCCAGAATCTTCAGCAGATACCAGCTACAGAAATAGCTTCTGCAGAATCTGTTAGTGGAGATATTATCAATGAGTTAATATCTTCTGATGTGTTTCCATCCTTACGGCTTTCTCCTACCCCTGCAGATGACTACAGCTTTAATTTAGATGATAATAAAGGAGTTTTTGATCTGTTTGATGTCCAGATACTAAATTATTAGATTCCATGGAAACTTGGGACTGTTATCTACCTCTGTGTAACATTTTAGATTTCTTAATAACCTAAGTATTTAAAACTAATGAGTGTAACACCTTTTTAGTTCACTGATTCTGAAGTGTTCTTCTCTAATTCTTTCCTTTTTTTACTTCACAAAACTTCAACCATAAAAACAAAGGGCTCTGACTGTTTCTGGGGAAAGGGGGTTTAATATCTGCCAGACTTCTCAGTCCCCAAGTGATTACATTCTGGGATTTCAACTTCCAATTCTGAATCCTTCCGTTTCCTCTTATGAAAGGAAGGTTAAAGTAGACTTCAGGTCATCAAAAACAAAAAAAGTTGGCCAAGGGCTAATCATTTATTTGCCTTGTATTTTTACTGCTGTGAAACTATTTCTGCATGTGTGTCAGTCCAAAGAGACATTCACTGCTACTTAAAAAGTGAAGGATGTAGGGCCGGGGATTTAGCTCAGTGGTTTTGCCGCCTGCTGTGCAAGCACAAGGACCCGAGTTCGATCCCCGGTACAAAAAAACCAAAAAAACAAAAAAGTGAAGGATGTAAATGAGGATATGTAACTGTTTCAGTGAACAGATTTTGTGAAGTGCCTTCTGTTTTAGCACTTTATCATTTTGTTGACTTCTGACATTCCACTTTCCTAGAGTACAGCAAAAATCTGTTTATGTAGTTTGTTTTTAAAATGTGCCAATGCTTGTACATTAACAAGATTTTTTAAAATAAAGTTGTATAAAATAACTAAAATATTGAGAAGGCAAGTGGCATTTAAATCAGACACACAAGCTTAAATTTTTAGTCACATGATTTCTAAAAAAAAAACACTTGCTTTCTCTTATATGAGATACCCAAAATATAAATAAAGAGCAAAATAAAAGATAAGAGGAAATAGGGAGATAGATCTTTTTGCAAAAGGAAAGGGAACCAAGAAATGGATGGGGAAGAAGAGGGTAAAGAAGAATTAAGATGTGTTATGTTGACCGGGGGATTTAGCTCAGTGGTGCCGCTGCCTGCCTTGCAAGCACAAGGTCCTGAGTTCGATCCCCAGCACCAAACAAAAAAGATGTGTTATGTACAGGTATTAACTCCCCATGAGGAATATAATCATTATGTACTGCAAGCATGTACCAATAAAAAAAGTTTTTATTTTAAATTTAAAAATATATAAACTTGGGCCAGGGATTTAGCTCAGTGGTTCCACTACCTGCCTCACAAGCATAAGGTCCCAAGTTCGATCCCCGGTATCAAAAAATATGTGTGTGTGTGTGTGTGTGTGTGTGTAGGGAACAGGGAAAGGGGACATTACTAGAACCTCTGCAGTAAGTCCTAGTCTCCTGTGAGTCACTGCAGCACAAGCAGCATTACAGGAAAGGTAGAAAAATGAGACTGAGAAGAAGCTGAGCTTTGGGTCTGATCAGTGATGCACTGGGTGGCAAAGACGAAAGCCCCCCAGCTTAAGGTACATCCGGAGAAACAAACGCAACAAATGACTTGCAGAGAGTTCAGTACATCCAGGTAAACAAGATATAACAATCCAAGAACAATGAGGAACTGAGTAGATGAAGATTTTGTTCCTCCCAGGATGTCTTCAACTGGTGTAATCTTGTCCTGGAGAATCACAGCATCACTGGATCATTGAGGTCTCAGCTGTGACCGGAAGCCAAAATGGAATTATGTCTCGGAATTCCACAGCTGGGCTGTAGGCAGGAGAACTCGGCTAATCAAATGATTTTTCCCTAAATTATATAGTATTGCTCCCGACATATATATACACACACATATATATGGGATGGCATGAACAAATTAGACCAGTAGGTGATAGTATGTTACCTAAAAACTGATGCATCTTTCTTACTTTGGGGATGATGAGGATTAAACCCAGGACTTCAGACATGCTCACTAAGCACTCTGCCATGGACAGGCATCCCCAGTCCAGGCTGATGAATCTTGCACACACACATGTTCATGGATCATAGAACCAGCTTCTTCATCTGCATCCCCTGCCCACTTCAGGGACTGACACAGGTGTAATCCAGCTTCTCATTTTATTACAGTTCTACTACCTTCTCATTAAGAAATGTTTAGTGGGCCAGGGATTTAACTCAGTGGTTCTGCTGCCTGCCTCGCAAGTGCAAGGTCCCAAGTTCAATCCTCAGCACCAAAAAAAGAGAAATGTTTAGTGCTAGAAATCTAGCAGTTGATTTTTTTTATTTGCTTATAGGGCATAGATAGCTCAAGATCCTTTATCTTAGAATGTGAACAATGCATATTCCTTCTTACAGAAAACATCTTTAGCTCAATTTGGTGTCATTGTCTTATCCCTATCCCTCCACCTAGTTGTTGATGACCAGGTGAAAAAGAGATGTCAATAATTACTTTAAAATACTGGGTGTGGTTTTGCACATCTGTAATTCCACCAGTTGGAAGGCTGAGGCAGGAGGATTGCCACAAGTTTGAGGCCAGCCTGGGCTACATAAGTGAGTTCAAGGCCATAATGAGAACTTGAGTCCAAAAAACCCCCCAAAATAAATAAATCATAGCTAAATAACTAAGATTAATAGTTACTTCCCTACCACTTTTGGTGAATTCACATGTAATGAAAAGTTAAGTTTGTTGGCAAAACTATCAGGGGAAGTCTTGAGAGTTTCTCAGGAAGCCCGGAACAAAGAGAAGTTACTACTTCTCCTCACTTTGGTCTGGAAAAGCTCTAAGGAAGATGTAAGATTAAGAACCCAAGGGGTCCGGGGATTTAGCTCAGTGGTTTCGATGCCTGCTATGCAAGCGCAAGGACCCAAGTTCAATCCCCAGTACCAAAAAAAAAAGAACCCAAGGGGCCAGGGATTTAGCTCACCGGTTACATCGCCTGCCTTGCAAGCACAAGGTCCTGAGTTCGATCCCTGGTACCAAAAAAAAAAAAAAGAACCCAAGAACTTTTCTCTGAGCTAGTCAGATGTGCTGCTGTCTGCCTCTTCAGACACAGGGATTAGAATCCAGTGGGAAAACTGTGATTGGAAAGACAATAGTATAACTACAGGAGGCACCATGTCTGCAGCTTCACTGTGTGTAAGTTGTACAACTTTAAAATTAGACCTGATCTTCACAGGGAAGAAACCTCATGACCCTAAGGCAAGAAATGATGTGAGCAGATTTTGACAGTGGCAGTGAAGAGTAAGAAAGGAAGGGGAGGAAGAAGGAAAGGACGCACATCAAAGAAGGAAGAAGGGGAAGGCATGGCTAAGGTCTGCAGTAATGGTGAAGGGTAACACCCTAAAATAGCTACAAATTACATGGATAAGGTAGACTAATCAATTGAAAACCCTAAATCTTTTGAAGATTGCCTAGAGGCATGTAAAAAAAAGTCCCGTCACTGAGCAGTTCTGAATCTTTCATGTTCATTTAGGGCGTGATGGGGTAGAACTAGCATAAGATGAGTGACAGAGCAGCAAGAGGGTGAGACTTTGTGACCTTTAAAGGCTCCTGCACGTTTTGGACAGTGATTCTGTGGTACACTGATAGAAAGTTCAGGAACAGACAAGCCATCTCCCTGTACTAGAGGAATATCAATGTAACCCTGAGGACCTGCCCTTTTTCTTCTCTACCTAGTCTGTTTCCCTGCCCCTCATCTTCTTATTTTACACAGTGCATCAGTCAGTCCCCTGACCCTCACTTCCACACATTCCTGAACCTCCTTTGTCCTTTTTAGGCCTGTTTCTCCTTTGTTGCCTTGATACTTCGAAGCATTCTGAGTTCACTCTTAAGCCCATGAACAACAGATCACCCCAGCCAGGTTGGATATACAAACATGTTCCACATGTTCTCTCATCACTGTTTCCTGGCCTCTGTACCAGGGTCTTTCTACCTGCTAGCAACGAGTTGTATTAGTCAGCTTTCCATCACTATAATAGATACCAAGTTTTGTTTTGCCTTGTGGTTTTGGAGAGTCATCCATTATCAGTTGAGCTTGTGTCAGCACACCACAGCAGAGGCAGGTGGTAGAGTAAAACTGCCCACATCATGGTCAGGAAGTGAGAGAGGATAAAAGACGGGCCTAGGGTCCTACTGTACCCTTGAAGGCACACTCCCAGTGACCTGAAGACTTCCTACTACATTTTACCGCCTCCCAGTAGATGGCTAACACATGGGTTTTTGGAGACATTCAAGATCCAAACTACCCGATAACTATTGTTCCTCAGCCATCTGAGTTTATCCATAGTAATATCCTCCTTGCTGATTTATGACATTCGCTTCCTAAGATGATTTTGGGAGATCCTATTCCTTAACAAATAAAGTCTGAGTATACCTTTCGGTGCCCTAAACATTGTGCTTCAGTCATGCCTTTGCAACTGTGTTCATTACATTCATTTCAAATGGCATCAGTTTGTGTACATTTTACCAGTTTAGTTCTATTTTTATAAGTTTGCAAAAAAAAAAATTAAAGGTGGAGCCAGGTGGGTGTGGTGGCTCATGCCTGTAATCCCAGCACTTCAGGAAGCTGAGGCCAGAGGACTGAGAGTTCAAGGCCAGTCTGGGATACATAGACCCTGTCTCAAAAGAGAGAGAGGGAGCCTAGTAGAATGAGCATCCTGGAATATTATAAAGTTAAAAGAGAATATATAGTTTTGATTCTTCCTAGTTTTACTATCTTTTCAACTTTTCTTTGTTGTAGGGATGAGAATGCTAAACTCTTGTTTATGCAACACCAGACACACACACAGTAGGAACTCATTGAGTTGATGAGTCCATAGCCTGCCAAGCTACTACATTTACCCATTTTGTTACATACATTGACAAGTTACCAACCTGTTAAAATCATATGCATCTGATATTTGGCTTTTCTTGTGTTTCTTGATTTTCTTAAAACAGCTTGGAATTTGAAGTTAATAGAACATAATTTTCCATTTTTTTCAGAAAATATTTTATTGAATGTCTGTCAAGTGCTGGGAAGCCACAGAATGACTAAGACATGAGTCCTGAGAGGAGCATGGTGGCGCAGGCCTGTAATCCCAGCTATTTGGGAAGCTGAGGCCAAAGGATTCCAAGTTTGAGGCTAGCCTGGGCAACTTAGCAAGACCTTGTCTCAAAATGAAAAGGGCTAGGGATAGAATTTAGCACTCCTTGCGTTCAAACAACAACAAACAGTACTAACAAAAAAAAAAGGAAGAGAACTGAGGGCAGAAAGAAGCTCTTCATCCAAGCCCTGGTGTGGGTTCCAGGGATGCAGTGTACTGTGCCCTCAAGGTACTTCCATTGGAGTTGAGGAGATAGTACTTTTTTTTTCCTCTTGATTCTGTCTTATATTTCAGATGTTGAGAGGTGTAAGGGAAAAAGGCAAATACTATAAAAAAGAAGTACAATTTTAAATATACTTCTGGTTGGAAACAGTTCGGTTCGCATATAAAAGCCTTCGGCAAAAGTTTGCTTCCATTCACAAACTCCACATCAAGCGACAAACACAACCACGGCCACCTTCCCCACACAAACACAAATGTAGCTATCTTCCCCAGAAGTGTAAAACAAATTAAATTTGTAAACCGCGGTGCCACTATGTAACTTGCAGTAAAGTCCATTTGGCATTGAGAAGCTCACCCTTGAGTAAAGACCTAAGAAAGATAAGGGAGTGAACCAGATGGATTTTGTGCTAAGTTCATTCCAGGTGGAGGGCACAGCAAGTCAAAAGTACTGAAATGGGGATATGCGAGGCAGATTGGAGGAAGGCAGTGGGACTTGCCTGGCGGAAGTAGCAGGCGAGGGTGTGAAAGGTAACCCAGTGGGACCCTGCCAGCCAGTGTGAAGACTGGCTGGCCTGTGTGTGAAATGGGAAGTTGTTTAAAGGTTTTAACCAGACCAGTACAACCTGACTTGGAATTTAAGAAGATCAAGCTATGGTCTAGGAGCAAGTCCAGCATCTGAGAATTGAGTTGAAAGCAGAGGTTCATCACTGTGTTTAGCGCTGAGAAGATCCCTGGCAGCCCCGAGGAGTGATGTCCATGAAGTGACTGACAAAGATGAAGCCTTTGTAGAACCAGTGTGAGAAAGAGTAGTTGGAAGTGATCTAGTCTTCAGATAACAGCGCCTGCAGGAAGATAATACATTCTGTAGGACAGATGTCTCCAGTCTTAAACCATTGACAAAGGACTGCTCTACATTCAAAAAGATTAAAACACACACATAGTTCCTGGATTGGTTACTACTGGTTTAGACAAACCCTATGTAAATATTCCAGGGGCTTTTAGAGAAATTTGATTAAATGAGATGAAAATTCACCAAAATAGAAACTACAGATTGACTTTAGAAAAGTAGCTTATGTGACCTCATATTTATAAAATACCTAACGGCTGTTGTCATGACCCTCTCCAGCATGTTATACTACAGCAAGAAGGTTTTTCTAGGTGCCAGTCTCCACACTGAGAAATAATTATTTTCTTTATAAAAATAAGTATGTAACTGGGCATGGTGGCGCACACCTTTGATCCAGCTCTCTGGGAGGCTGAGGCAGGAGAATCCCAAGTTGAGCCCAGCCTGGGCAAACTGTAAAAAATTTTGGATGTTTAACAGTGGTCTTACCTGTATTTTCTAGTTTTCTATAATGCAGTTACTGCTTTTGTGATAAGTATTAAGAACTTGAATTGGGAAGAAAAGAATTGGAGACAGCTTATGTCTACCACTTTTTAATAGACCTTTCCTATAAAACGACCAGAGAAATGAGAGGTAGCTAGAGAGATTTTTAGAACAAGTGTTGGATATGTGTGTGTTTTAAGGTAGACATATTGTGTATTCGTATATCGATAGGGAAAACTCCAGTAGAGAAGGGAGTGAATTGATAAAGCCGTGTCACTGAGTGAAGGAGGGGATGCAATCCATCTAGGGTCCAAGCTGACTTTAAACCAGGGTTGATGCCCCCACAGCAGGGGAGGGTGGCAGGAAACAAGAGCACGGGCCCAGACAAGCCTGGCCCAAGACAGCATAAGCCAGGTCTCTGACAGCTCAGCACTTGGATCCTAGCAGGTCCAGGTGGCCTCAAGCGAGCCCTTCACACAGTGGGCACAGGTGCCTGAAGCTGGAGTTTGCCACTCCTGCTTTTTGAAAGGATTGTGCATTCTGTTGGTTGATGAGCTGAAGATCTTATAGAAAGGGGATGAGCCCATCATGCAGGCACTGACTGCTGTCCGTGCTGTCTCCTCCCTAGCCCTGGCCATGGGTCTCTGCGTCGCCATGATCGCCTTCGTCCGCCTGCCGAGCCTCAAGGTCTCCTGCCTGCTTCTCTCAGGGCTGCTAATCTATGATGTCTTTTGGGTAAGTGTCTCTCTGGGAGACCCTGCTCCTCTGTGTGTCCTCTCAGAGCACTGACTGCTGATATCTGCCCACTCTTTGAGTGTCCAGAACCTCTTACCTGACCGCTGCCTTGGGTCCCTCTCTCTGGTCCTGAACTGTCTGTGTTCACAATGTATAGCCATGGTCTGCGCCTTCTATGGGTGGAACTGTGATAATTGGTGCCCTGTGTGACTCCCAAGAGTGGAAGAGACAGCAGGCAGATGATGTGGCCTGCACCGAGCTCCTAGTCCCACTGTAAGGGAGTCTCTGGGGCTGGCTCTGAGACATTCAGAAACCTGCAGGCACATACAAACTACAGGGCTTTTTCTTCCTCCTCAGAAGCAAGCAGGAACACAGTAGTACTCTTAAGCTCTGCTCTTCAGAACAGAGAGTGCTGATTGCTGGACATGAGTTGCTTACAGCTCCCTCTGTTAAAGGTATGTCTCCACCTTGGCAGGTATTTTTCTCAGCCTACATCTTCAACAGCAATGTCATGGTGAAAGTGGCTACACAGCCGGCTGACAATCCTCTTGATGTTCTATCCCGGAAGCTCCACCTGGGGCCCAATGTTGGGCGTGATGTTCCTCGCCTATCTCTACCTGGAAAATTGGTCTTCCCAAGGTAGGATTGGCCTCCTGGGCCTCATCCCATGGTGCTGAACACTCCATCTTCCTGTGCACATCTGTTCCTTGCCTTGGTTGTCTTTTCCAGGATTCTGTACCTTAACTGAAAAGGACCATGAGCCATTGTACAAATGCAGTAAGGATGAAAGCAGTATCACTAAGTGATATGGGTGCTGTTATTACTGGTTAATGTTAATTGAACGACCATACTTTACAGCTATTCCTACTTTTTAAAGTTGGTGGGTGGGCCAGGGATTTAGCTCAGTGATTCTGCCACCTGCCTCACAAGTGCAAGGACCAGAGTTTGATCCCTGGTACCAAAAAAACAAACAAAGTTGGTGGGTATCCAGAGAGTCTGGATCCTTTTTACTTCTGCAGCATTTGTAAAAATATGTTCTAATGGTAAAATTACATATTTCCTGGCAATTCAGTGTTGGCATAATGAATGTGCTCTTTAATCTGTGTGGTAGTCTAGTCCTGGTTTGCGGTCTCAGCAGTGAATGAATGTCTCACAAACATTTGCCTGAGATATCTAGAAGAGGCAGTACTCATGCACATCACCTGAGCTGTCACCTGCATGGTGCTCTCCTGGGATGCTGAGCAGTCAGGCTAGAGGCCCCTAGCAGGACATTTAATCTCTACACTCTCAAAAATTAGTGTCCAGCCAGTAGAGATTTCCATCTGCCATTCAGATAAGTTTTTTGACTTCTTAGAAAGCTGACACACTGCACCAAAGAAGTAGAAATTGGATCACAGCATATGGCATCCCTAACCTAGTACTCTGCATTTCAGCTCCACCGGCAGCCACTTCTCTATGTTGGGCATTGGAGACATTGTGATGCCCGGTCTTCTGTTGTGCTTTGTCCTTCGCTATGACAACTACAAAAAGCAAGCCAGTGGTGACTCCTGCGGGGCTTCGGGACCCGCCAACATCTCCGGGCGCATGCAAAAGGTCTCCTACTTTCACTGCACCCTCATTGGATACTTTGTAGGTAAGAGAAGGCTGAGTGTGCAGCCAGTCCCTTCACGGGTTGTTCTCCAGCCTGTGAAATTAAGTCAGATCTTCTAGCTACAGATTCTGACCAGGAAAGCAGTAGCTCTGGTTACTGTTTAGACAACCAAAAAGGGCCCCTCCCAGCCCATGAGACATTTCATCCTCTCTGTGCTGGGTGCCTCTTCCCTTTCCAGTGGTACATCTGAGGAACACATAGGAAGACCGTGACCAGGGCCAGTCCTCAGAGCCAGACACATAACCACGTATGTTTGTGGATTAGACTGTGTAAATCTCCCGTACAGTTTAATGGATGTCTTGTTTATTTCCTACTTTAATAAACAGACATTGGCCTTCATTAGTTCTCACATTTCTCTTGCCTCTGACCTTGAACTCTCTCAGGCTAGTTTTTCCTCAGCCAGCTCAACTACAGGCAAACAGAGAAAGTCGTGATTAGGCTAGGAATAGCAGTAACCTGTCCACATACTGTATACCGCTACCACAGAGAGAATGGAAAAGATCGCCTCTCACCTCTGTACCTTCTGCCTAACATTAGCACTGTCATCGGTAGCATTACATACACATGGGTTCATTTCAGTTAAACCCTGAGAGGAACCACCAAGTGGTACTCGCCCCATCAGGCAGATGAGTTCAGAAAGGTGAGATCCTCACTCAAGGCTACAGGGCTATAGTAAGGAGCAGAGCTGGAACCTGAACCAGGTTTTTTGCTTCAGATCCAGGAGACAGAGACCAGGCACAGTCAGGGCAGAAAGGAGATTTTAGACCTGGGAACCTGAGGTAGGAAGTGGGACTCGGGCCAATCACAGGGCCTTCAAGTTGCTGTGCTGTTGCACATTTCTTTAACTGCTTGAGGGCATCTCACACCCTAACCATGGACTGGACTTGGTCACAGCCAATCTGTACAACCTCAGGATTTTGCCAGGTGGCAGTCAGGTGACAGACTTACTTTCTTTTTGGGTTGGCCTCTGAGAGTCACCAATGTCTCTCCTCCTAGGTCTGCTCACTGCTACTGTGGCATCTCGCATCCACCGAGCCGCGCAGCCTGCCCTACTCTATTTGGTGCCATTTACCTTATTGCCACTCCTTACCATGGCCTATTTAAAGGTGAGAGAAACAGTTACAACCTGCAAAAACAGTAACTTGACATTGATCTTGGTTTTGGGTTATGTACTTTTCTTGCAGGAGGTGATTCTACTTAAGCCCCTGATCAAGACTAAGCTCTTGGGCTGGGAATTTAGCTCAGTGGCACCACACCCACCTCGGAAGCACAAGGTCCTGAGTTCAATTCACAGTACCACACACACACAAAAAAGACTGAGCTCTTAATCTTGACTATGTTTTATATGATGGTCTGGCATTAAGCAAACATCTTCAGATTCTTAAAGCCACTGACAGAAAATGTTTATGATTTTCTATACCACTTGATCATAAGGACTTAACTGAAACCACAAGAGTCTGGCTATGGAAACTTCCTGCTTTTAAAGCAGTATCCTAGGGCAGAAGATATAGCTCAGCAAGGCACTGGGGTCAATTTCCACCACCCAAAAAAAACTTTTTGGTTTAGAAAGAAGAAAAATTAATAGTATCAAAGCAGTGTGTAATAAAAACCAGATGCAGAGCCGGGGATTTAGCTCAGTGGCACCGTGCCTGCCTTGTAAGTGCAAGATCCTGAGTTTGATCCCCAGTACCAAAAAACAAAAAAACAGATGCAGAAGGTAGGCATACTACCACACACCTGTAATCTCAGCACTCAGGAAGCTAAGAGTGGAGGATCGTAAGTTCAGGGTTAGCCTAGGATATATATAGCAAGACCCTGTCTGAAGAAAAAACAAGTACAAAAACTGAATTTAGAGAGCACATTTTGAGCCAGGTGTGGTGGCACATGCCTGTCATCCTGACACTCAGGAGGCTGAGAGGCTGAGGCAGGAAGATCATGAATTCAAGGCCTGCCTGGAATGTGTAGTGAAACTGTTTCAAATTTTTTTAAAAACTTGTTTACCAGATATATGTTTTCTCATTTTACAGATAGGAAAAAAAGACTGAGTTTCATTAATTGCCCAAACTGTTAACTCACAAGTTAGAACTTGAGGGTAGAGTTTGAACAGTTTCTAAAAGCCCTCCCTTGCCCAAGAGCTTCTCTTCTGCAATCATGGGTTTTCACTGAGCAAAACTGGAATGCTTTTTGGTTCCCCACAGAAGCACTTGCTGAGATCCAGAATCAGAAAGGCCTTGAGCCTGTGTGTGCCTCATGTTTAAGTCAGTAACTCAGGAAGTCCCCTCTTTCTCAGGGTGACCTACGGCGGATGTGGTCTGAACCATTCCACTCCAAGTCCAGCAGCTCTCGGTTCCTGGAAGTATGATGGATCACATCGGAAGTGACCAGAATGGCCATCATCGACTTTTCTCTCGCCACGTGGTTTTGTTTCCTCCTAGAGCTGGCCTGGTGCTCAGAGGCACACCTGCGTAAGGAACGGAGGTGTGACTGGAGTTTGCCTCTAAAGGGAGCTTGTTGGCCAGAGAGGGTGCTGGCCCAGCTGGGTCCTTCTCTTCCTGCACCTTCCAGCGCGAGAGGCCCCTCCCCAGCACTGCTTCCTCCTGTTTTCATGGATCTGCACCAGACTGTTACCTTGCAGGGAGTTGGAGACTTGACTATTTAAAAACTGCAAACGGCAAAGAGTCGTTTTAGAACTTTTGAACACTAAAAGGATGGAAAAAAAAATCAGCAGAGCGAAGTTTCTTCAGTGAAGCCTCCGGAACTTCGGGACCAGTTTCCTTTGGGGGACTCAGTTTCAGAGAACTGAGACAGAAGTTCTTCTGTCGTTATATTCTTTCCTTTGTTTGGATTTATTAAATATTTTCTGTGGTGTGAAGTGACTTATTAAATCCACAGACATTGAGTGACTTCTTACAACACACACTTAAGAATTTGTTGTAATTTCATGTCCTCCCAGACGTCATGTTGGCAGTGAACAAGGGCACGGTTTTTATACATACGTACAAATATATATATATACACACACACACACACACACTCGCGCGCATAGGTATATATGAATAAACAAACCCCGCTAAGATCATGCTGTGTAGCCACAGGCCTTGCTGTGTTTTGAGCATGTGGAGCAGTTCACTGCGGCTTCCCTATATAAGCTGTCATCTCTCACCTGACAACTGACCCTGCCGTTATGAACCAGTGTAGCATTTGGACTGACAGACTCGTGGGCTTTAGGGGACTCTTACTTGGTTTGATCAGTGTAGTAAACTAGGGATGAAAAGTTAAAACTTTTTGCCCCTTTTCTTTTTACAGGCTTCTCCCTTGCCGAGTTTTAGTAATTTCTTCTTGAACCAATGCATGTATTATAGCAGCAGGCGTCTTTGTGCTTTCTGATCATAGTAATGTACTACCTGTAAATACATTTTTCTATTTTGTATTTTTTTGTATTTTTTTTTTTTGGCATTTTGTTTCATTGGTGTGCTGTATTTTCCATGCCCTCACTCCTTTAAGAAAGAAAGAGAAAAAAAAAAGGAAAAAAAGCAACACAATCCTGTCCTTGCTGTTGTGATTAATAGTCTTGGTTTACCTGTGGTTACAACTGGGTACTGGGGACAGATGGTCAGTGACACACCCCTCTTCACTTGGCCCTAAATCCCAGGAATGACCCCAGGAAACAACAGGCTGCTCTGTCCCTGTAATCTGTCCTTGTACTGTGGCCACTGCTGAAGAGCCCAGCATTCTGCTAGGAACTAGTGCAGTGTCCTCTCACCTTTAAGCAGCCCCCAGCCTGATGAAAAACCACCTATGTTGAGAGAGAAGCCTGGAATAGTCTTGAAACCCGTGGCAGCCTAGTATCTCCTGTAGGTCACTGCCTGTGTCCTGCCCTGCAGTCAGCTGGGGTGCTGCTGTCTCCGTGGTTCAGTCACAGTGGGCAGAACTGCTGTCACTGAAGTGGGACGTGTCAGGGTATTTCATCTTCACACCTTGCTGGAGGATTTGGGGTTGTAATAAATGATTCCTTTCTAGCCTTTGTCTTAACGTTTGGTGGTTGGTACCAAGCAGAGCTCCCAGTCCCTTCCTGGTGTTTGCTTGTTCCTGAAGACTGACGGGAAGACCTGCCTCTCTCCAGGTACAGCCACCTGTGGCTCTGGTTCAGTCATGGAGATACCGAAATATTGAAGCTCCAGTTGCCCACAGAACTCACTGCCCTAGACCGGGTGGAGACTGTGCGCCCCTGTGTCATGCTCATCACCAGTGCTGCTTTCTCAGCCCTCGGGGTGCAAGTGGCAGATTCAACCCCACAGGGCTTGGGGGCCTCCAGGTGGCTCAGATTAGGGCCAACTGCCTGTAATGGGTAGAAATGTTACCCTGCAGGTTGATCTTTTAATTTTTCTATCTTAAATTTTAAAAAGGAATATAATTTTTGGTTAATCTCACTTCCGCAGAGATTATGGGAGGAAACATGCAGCCTTAAGAATGTGACTGGGATTCTACTTGGTAGTCATCAAAGCCCTTAAAATGTTTTCTTTAGAACTTTAGCAGAAGAAGTGCAAATACTTGTTGTAGAATTAACCATGAATTAACCACAAAAGCAGGGGCTCAGAGTACAAGTCCATGGCCTCCACACTAGCGCCTCAAGCAGTTTCCTCCATGAGGTGCTCCTGGGGCTTTAAGCCTGTTTTCTTGGGTGCTCACATGCACATGGCTTTAACTTGACTTTTCACATTTTCCCATGTCATTTTAAAATTATCCCCAACACCAGTGTCTGGGAGTCTTAGCCAAGTTCTTGAATAAAGGCCTCAGGGTTCCTTCTCTAGGTCAGGGACTCCCAATAGCCCAGGACCCTGAAAACACTTGGGCACACTTGCAGGAGGATAGGAGACTGCTCTTCTAGTCATACACACTAGCATTAAAGCTGCTAGTGTTTTTGTTTTGCTTATATTGTTTTGGCCTGTTTTTCTTTCAAAATATATCCTTGTGGGGGGAGGGGCGGGGACTAGGAGGAACCATATTAACATTCTACAGGGGATGGTGGTGACATCAGTAATTTTTTTCCCTCCAGTTATCTGGCTGCTGCTTCTGGCTTTCATTAGTAAGAGGCAGCATACTTATGAAATCTCTTTGGTTTCAATTCACATCAGAGATTACAATCTTGAGCCTTTTACCTAACTTCTGTCTCAGTTCCCTCATCTGTAAAATGAGCATATACTAGTTCCAATCTCAGGCTTGTTGGAGGGGTTTGTAAACTTAGCCCAATACCAGGCACAACAGGCACTCAATTCATGTCAGCTATGGCTGTTATCATGACAGCAATTATAGGTCACAGTACTCATAGCTATATCCTGAGCATCAGACCATCAGCATTATTTTGGAGCCTGATTTGTCCTACATCACATTAGCTATTTGTATTCAGATGTGGTCCTGGAAACCAGCCCAATGTCCTGGGACCTTTCTCAGTGAGGGCTGCTCTCCAGAGGGACTCGCATCCAGTCCATGGACTGAGTTTGTATTGTCAATTAAGACTGCTCAGAAGCCCCCTTCCTATGAAAGATAGGGTGATAATGGAGTTTGAATGTGGGCTGTGTTATTAGACATAGCATCTGGTCCACATGAAGGAGGGGCACATGAGAAAAGCAAAGGCTATTTTTGTTAGCTTTTTTTTTTTTTTTTGGTTTTTTGAGACAGGGTCTCACTATGTAGTTCAAGCTGGCCTTGAACTCTTATGTAGCCCAGGTTGGCCATGAACTCACAGGGATCCCCCTACTTCTCCCTGCCAACTACTGGGATTATAGGCATGTGCCACTCTCCCCAGCCTATTAGTATGGTTTTTTTAGAAAGCTTTTAGGTCTTGGAAGGAGCTAGAAAAAAATCCCATGTGTAGAACAGCACAAAAATGTAAAGCTGCGCTCAAACACAGATGTGCAGGAGGTAAAGGCTCGTGTACCTCATGTATTCCAGCCGGTACACAGACAAGTATGTTGGCATGGCAAAGTCCAGCTTGTTGATAAGAGCAGACACTTCAGGAGGAGACTCCAGGAGGTTGATGATTGTGCTTCAAAGCTCACTCAGCTCGGCCTGGAGAGAAAGAAACATTCACAGACTCATGAGGGCCCCTTCCCAGTAGAACGGAGCCCCAGAGGATGACGTGTACATAAGAACCCTGAAAGGATCTGCGCTGATCATTATAGAAAGTTTAGCAAAAGCGAGAAGAGAATCCTTACAGGGGTGACTATCATTTTTCATGGCTGATGGTACTAGAGGACTGACTGCAGAGGCTCTTTGCTGGGAAAGGTGACCAGAGGAGACTTGGTGGCTATTTCACAGACCCCCTCATACCATTCTTCTGGCCAGAGTCCTGCAAGAGAGAATGTAAGTCAGACAAGGGTGAGGGATTCAGCTCAATGATAAAATCCTTGACCAGCGTATGGGAGGTTCCTAGGTTCAGGCACCAAAAGAGAAAGTCCTAGGTCCTTTGTTTGCCACAATTATCCTAAAAGCCAAGTGTGGTAGCACATGCCTATGACCCCGGAACTCTGGGAGGTTGAGGTAGGAGAACTGCAAGTTCAAGCTCATCCTGGGCAATTCAGCAATTTAGTGAGATTCTGTCTCAAATTTTAAGGGGGCGGGGCATAGGTTCCCAGTTCCTACTATAATGTGTCCCTCTTAGGGCCCACACTATTTTCTTTGAGTGTATACTTTCAGTGCTGCCTAAAGAATCCTTTTATACCTCTTAAAACTCTAAGCTCTCTATGGGGACTTTCCTCCC